AATCCCTTTATGAATTCATGTTGGAGTTCAGATCGACAAACCCCTTCAAGAGCTCGAGCAATATTTTATGTAAGAATGAACTCTATGGCGTTTATAGACTTTACCTATTATTATCTACTTTTCATTCGGCGCCTTATAAGAAAAAGTTTCCATACTCGGTAGACAACTATGATCAAGTGCCTCCCAAAAGCTTTTTTCATCTAGACTAGTATAGATTGGTGTTTTGATCCCGCCTAGGTCTCATCGGCACTCCCAGCGTTAGTCGAACCGTGATAGTAGAGCATATAATCTAGACATGCTGAGTACTATGTCACACTGCCAAGAGCGCCCTTGGGTCACAGGGCCGATGCAGATTTAAGGAAGGTCAGACATTTTCTCATACCACATTCTGTGGTTGGATTGTCGATGAAGCAAAGCGAGCTTTGATATAGCAATCGACTATAACAGTTCGAGCCCCGCCGAGGATTCTGATGAGACCTAGGCGAGGTCGAAACTACAGTCAACCCTGGATTAAAAAAATTTATGGAAAGGAAGGCTATGTGAAATTCGATAGAAACTTATAGGTCTACTCCTAAGATTGTGGGAAAATTCAACTGCCCTTCAATGCCTTAAACGAAATAGGGTGATTTCTGCTTTTATATTATATCTACTCGTAGTCTCAAAAAAACTTACTTATAAAACGAAATGTAATATTTTTTTTTGTTATTATTAATACTAATAACTTTTTATTAATTTATCTATCATAAATATATATTATGTTTCCTGCTGTCTCATTGGTAAGGACTTAATTCAATCCCTTTGTTTACTACTTTACCATACCAACCCGTCAAATCTCTATATTGTATTAACTCAAACTGAGCAGGTATGAAGAGCAAGATAATGATATCGGTCTATTTTGATAAAAGTATGTCCTTACGTATGTTTGGGTGTGTATGTATAGGCATGTGTGTGCGGACATACTAATACAACTCGACCCGTGGTCAGAGGAGTGAATGTTCTCATTATTATACTTAAGTAGAAGGATAAAACTCACTTTGCTTCAGTTCTGATCATAGCATAAGACTCTCCGCTTGGCTTGATTGGCTCTAGCTCGATCTGACAAATTGTCTCTGTCAGCATTTCGTGGTGTTGAATCCGCACTGGCTTTGATAACAGCGAAATGTGTTGTTGATACTGCTGACTTCGGGTGCTAGCTTCGGCAGCTTGACTTTCATGCTGTTGGTCAACGCTGGTATGACGGGTTAAAAGGGAACTTGAGGGTAAGGCGGAAAAGGAATCGACCGACGACACGCCGGCCACTGAGGAGTTGGTAGTCGGACTAGAACTACGCTGTGAGTTGGCCTGTAAGACAGCGGAGACAACTGTATCTGGTTGAGAAGGATAACGTTGTTTTAAGTCGCCTCGGATACGTAACTCCAATGTTAGCCCATTGTAGAGCAGCAAGGGTGGAAGTTCGTTTCCAGAGTAACGGTAAACCCGATTTTGTCTTTTCGCGTTCATATGTGAAGCATTCATGGGACTTTTGAGAGCATTGCCCTTCATTAAACATCGAGTTTTCGGGTCAAGATAAACGAATATGTAATGTTTTAAAAGTTTTCAGTAAATCATTAATTAAATCAAATTGCATATGTGTAACCAACAGTCTATCTATTTATAAATGTTACTAGATATAGTAGACACGAAGACATGAAATGGTCTGACCTGGTGTTAGTAACTTGGTCATATTGTCAAAGCAGTATAAGTCACCTTGTCCAAAATCCTTTACTATAGTAGCTATAGT